GTTACTCCTAGTTATATTCTCATGAAGAATCAAGTGGTCTTAAGATATCTTGGAACAAGTAAATTGACTATCACTATTCAGCCAACGCATATGCGTTGGCTGTTGGGCTGGCGTTACATATCTTCGCTACACAGTGCTGACGAGCCCCAAGAAGGGCGAAACAGCTGTCCGCTGTTGCGATCCTACTTTATCGGTTCTTGTCATGTTGGTGTCTCGAAACGTTTTTCACGTAGTATCAGCCTTGCAGTCTATTGTTCGAACGGATACCGTAAGGAACGTTTTCGCGTGATAGGTCACATATTTGTTCTTTTAACAACGCTTTTAGGGTCGAAAAAGTAAAATTGGCGATGTACTTACTTCCTTTTACGTGACGTGTGATTTTTTGAAAAAATTCTCCGTGATGCGTGATTTAATAGAAAAATTCAGCGTGATGCGTGATTGGTACCCCACCTTTGNTAGAATTATTGTCCCATATCATGGGGACAACGCCAATACTAGAAATGGCGCGCTTACGGTCTCCGTCCCCGATTATGGCTCCTGATCAGAGCCAATTTCTTATTCCTAAAATTTTGAGGTAGGGTCATACGGGTAGATTTTGAAGAAAACGTGATTTAACATACTAGTGTCCAGTCTCTCCTTAGGTACTCGGTCGGACACTGTCTCCTTGCGCCCCGAAACACGTGATGTGGCAACGCGTGTTTCGGGAAGCAAGTGAGTTCAAAGTACGGAACTTGATATAGTGCACAGGTCATTTTGCAATTTATGTGCGTTGGCTTTTGGGCTGGCGTTACATATCTTCGCTACACAGTGCTGACGAGCCCCAAGAAGGGCGAAACAGCTGTCCGCTGTTGCGATCCTACTTTATCGGTTCTTGTAATGTTGGTGTCTCGAAACGTTTTTCACGTAGTATAAGCCTTGCAGTCTATTGCTTGTCTTCATTCATTTTGGCCATTTTTTGACGTTTAATTGTTCAAGTTTTACATAGAATGACAAAAGACTTAGGCAAACAGTAAATAGAGAAAGGAAAATCATCTTGGAACATTTTTGAAAGGAGTTAGAAGTTGGGCTGTTATAATCCATCAAATAATAATAATAGTAATAATAATAAGAATAATAACTTTATTTGAGTATCTAGTCTTCTAGCTAGCCTTAAGCTTACTAATCGGGGACACTGTTAAAATTAAAATATAATATAAGTATAAAAACGATTCCTGTCTAAAACTGTAGGAAGCCACCTTAAGCTAACACATGAGTTTGAGTTTGAGTTTGAGTTTGAGTTTGAATAATCTCAAACTACAGCCGCAGCCCATGACCTAAAAGCAGTGAAAAACATTTGTATGTAAGAAAAATTAAAACTTTGGCTGGGTCCTGGGTTAGCGTTAACCGGCTTCTGAAGAATCCGACCCGGATCTTCGCCCTGATTACCACAAATTAACCTAACATCGAAAGTACTTGGTCAGCGGTCAATTTTAAAAAAACCACATGACCTCGATGAGCTATAAACCTGAGCCCGCCATATGGTCACGTGATACTGGTCAGCGGATACCTTGTATCGACAATTGTCAATAGACCAGTTTCGATATATAAAATTCAGCCTAAAACAAAAGACCTCAGCACGAGGCTCCGGGGAATAACTGCAGAGTTTGTAGGGTTTATTCCCCGGAGCGTCGTGCTGAGGTCTATTGTTTTAGGCTGAATTTTAATATATCGAAATTGGGCTATTGACCATAACAGGGATGTCCAAATACTCTTTTTCTTTTCGCTGCTTACATTATCAGATCGGACCGGACCGAATCACGGATCGGATCACGGATTGGATCACGGATCGGATCACGGACCGGATCACGGATCGGATCAAGGAAAAAAATTCAAAATTTTGTTGAGCAAATTGCACTAGAGTGACTACTGTGAGCAGATAGTTTTATTTAATTCAGGTGTGATATTCCTTTATTCTTTTATAATATCAAGCCAACTGGGAGCTGGTCAC